ATAGAAAATGGAAAATTTCATCATTGAAAATGGGAAATTTCATCTTGAAAAATGGAATTTTCATAACAGAAAATGGGAAATTTGATCATAGAAAATGGAATTTTCATTGTAGAAAGCAGGAAATCTGATCACAAAAATGGTATTTTTCATAAGAGAAAATTTAATTTTCATCACAGAAAATGGGAATTTTCATCACAGAAAATGGAATTTTCATCATGGAAATGGAATTTCATCAGAAAATGGGAATTCATCAATGAAAATGAACTTTCATCATAGAAAATGGGAAATTTGATCATAGAAAAGAGAAATTTGATCATAGAAAATGGGAATTTTCATCATAGAAAATGGGAAATTTGATTATAGAAAAGATCAATTTGATCATAGAAAATCGGAATTTTCATCATAGAAAATGAGAAAACACAAGAACACCAAACAAATCACCTCGGAAACCCACAGTTGGCAAGTACAGTAATTAGCATTGAGAAAAATGTCATTAAAATCTTCCAAGTGTCATTAAAACTGCTCATTATCCTGTAATTGACCTGTTGATCAGATTCGAAAATGTATATAAAGGGGATTTAAAACTTATGGGCATAGTGTAATTTTGGCATCCAGGGCAGTTGCAATGGGAGATATGGTCATCAATGGATTAATCCTAATTGTTTAGGCATAGGACTCACCTGGGTTTTTAACCTGTAGACTTGTTGAACAATATTCAAGTTGCTTGTCATTCATTACACTATTCTTGAAAGAGCAAGATTTGTAAGGTGCGTTGGATACAGTATACAAATGTGTACTGTACATGAAAATGTTATAGTAAAAGACATAAAACCTGAAATAAGAGGTCATGTCATATGTCCACTCTAAATGAGGCGAATACAGTATAGTAACACTTTTTATTCACGGGTTTGCGATTTGTATTTTAGACTATTTGTGGTAAGCAGATGGTGGCTAGCTTACGTGCCTCTCCACACACAATCGAGTCGACCCCAAGATTTCCTCTCCCTGGTTTGCGTTCAACTATTGCCTGCGATGAAGCATCTAGTGTTGTACTCAAAACTGAGTGCTTCTGTGTGAAATGGCCCCTAAAAGACTGCCTAGTGTCAATGCTAAGTGATGCTAGTGGAGTGGAACCTAAAAGGCAGAAGTCAGTGATGACACAAACAAAGAACGTTGAATTAGAATTATTAGACAAGTTAAAGAGGGATGCGGCCTGCCATGGCTGGTCAGCTGTTTGGTATAGGAATACAGTACTGCACTAAGGTATTATAAGTTACTATTTGCAGTTTTGCACCATTCCTTGGAACCTAACCCCTGTGATTAACAAGGTTCACTGTAATTTTGGGAGATAATACTAACTGAGGAAAGAATTCAAACACACAGTACTTTGAGATAATGTTGTACTACTTACAATATGAGGGTTGAAGGGAGGGATAGGGAAGGTTGTCAGAGGATGCACTGGACAGGCCATATTTAGTTGCAAATATTAAGGGTTTTATGCAGAGAAGGGGTTATATCCATGGTGCCACTCACAATATGAAGGAAATGGGTAATCAAAGAGGCTCTGTTACTGATGGCAGGTTAGACGTCCAGCAAACAAAATTGTCATCATTAACAGCTAAAGCTTACACTTCCATACATCTTACTTTCCCAGCTTTGCAATGCACTGTGATATTCTTGGGAAATGTTAGAAAACTTTGGCTAATTATTATTTTCTTACAAAAGAAGGTATTGTTTAGTCCGGTTAGGCACAACTCTCTTAATATTTTGTAACAACACAACAGCCAGTTAAGTGACCAGTGGTCTAAAGTAAACAGTTGGTCTGAATCAATGCTGACATAAGTGAATTATTCACACTGTCAAGGGCACTGTTACTGGCTGGTCATCAAGGCAACAGTGACTTAATATAAGGGACATTCATACCGGTACTGATTTCTTATGAGGGAATCCTAACTGTTCTCTATCACTGTGCATAATTTCTATATTATGTAACTGGAATGGGTCAACTGGACAAGCAGTTCCCACATGTAACACAAACAGGCATACTATCAAGTAAAAGGATGCCATCAACCCTGAATTTAAAAGAGTATGTCCAAGGCCATCAATTTTGATATCTATTAGCAGAGTTAACACAAGTAACCCAATAAGACCAGTTTTATGGTATATGGTTAGGTTTATTGTGCGTGTGCAATCTAATGCTAACAATGTGGCTTTTCAGTTTCTAACTCCTACCACAACCTGACATTCTTTGAATAATGGAAATTTCCAGTTAACTTACCGTCTATACTTACAACATTTCAGCGAGGCCTTTGGCCCTGCCATCACTATGGTTCCGTATGAGCATGTGATAAGCTCAAGTTATTGTCAATTAAGTTTCAACGCAACAACACAAAGTACATGACATCATCCTTCAGTGTCCAATGGCTAGTTTTTCTAATTCATAGGATTTTTATAAATTCTAGGAGTAAAATTACATTACAAAATAAAACAAAGTATCTGTGTACTTCATAAGATTCTATCAAAGATGACAATTGTAACATAATCAACTGCATACAGTATATTAAAAAATTGCTAACCTAACCATATACCATTTAAAGACTCATCATCCTGAGGTTTTGCTTTCAAACAGAGAAATTAAAAGAACCTCTTAATACAACAAAGTCCATATCATATGAAATGTCCACACATATTAGTCTGGAGAACTTTAACAGATTGAGAAGCATGTGGAAACATAATAAATTAATATACTGTACAAGTCCTGTGCTAAAAAAAATTAATTAAAATAACTAAAAATCTACTACTGAAAGCTCCTATATTTACAAACACCACTTACAGTACAGTACATACAAACAATGCAGAGCTAACGATGGGATGACAAAAATTTTTCAAAAAGGAGTTAAAAATAAGGAAGATGGCACCATGGCTACAACACAGGAAGTTACCTTTAGATCATAGGGAGTACAGATAAATAGGTCATTGACAAAATATGTTAACATGTTATTTCACAAATGTATCCTTTATTCACTACAGACTAGTTCTCTCTTTCTCCACAGCTGGGTATCAATGCTCTGGGCTTTTCACCGCTCAACAACACACCTCGGCTTCTGCACGACCACAATGAGTTCCTCAATGAGAAAGTTTTCCTTCGGGGCATTGATATATATTATTCTATTATTCTGAACCTTGCCAACCTGAAGCCTTATTAAAGGTACCGAAAATATTCGATTTAGAGGTAATTACCCTGCTTGTTTGGTAGGTAGGTGTTAAATAAGTCAGTTTAATGTTGTGTTCAGTATTTTAAGTAAGGTACAATACTATTGTAATTGGCGACCTGAACCGGCATACACAAAACTTTTAAGTGCTAGCAAACAGTTGTTCAGGCTGACATTTTCCTGTTGAGCACAAATAGTACATACACAAAACTTTTAAGGGCCTTAATAGTACTGTTAAGTTAAAAGACCTCGGGAGCACTTTTAAGTCCCATAATAGTCATCTGTTAGTTGATACCATGGCAAACCATCATTTTTATCAGCGGCGGCAACGCATTTACCGGGAAAGGAGATATATATTTAATGAATATAGTGTTTATATATTAAATATGTTGTGTGTATTCCCTCTTTACAGCAGAGATCTTCTTTCTTGACTTGGACAATACTGAGAAAAGGCGTGTCTCACACTTTGCCACTGACCTCACCACACCAGGAAATGCAGCATTAACTCATGGTAATTTCCGGCCATGCCCTCTTTGGCTATTTATTGTTAACCACCCATCACCTTTTTTCACATGAAAATATTTTTTTGCTGGTTTTCTTGCCGTTCAAGATGAATCTGACATTTATTTTAAGGGCAAATCACTTTTCTTTTAGGAAGTGGCCTGTTAGGTCTGGTAACCTAACAAATAAAAAAAAAAGTTATGTTAGGTTACCTGACCTAAGAGGCCACGTCCTAACCTAACTTAAAAAGATTAGGTTAGGTTACCTGACCTAACAGGGCATGTCCTAACTGAACCTAAAATATAGTTAGGTTCTGTTAGGTTACCTGACCTAACAGGCCACGTCCTAACCTAAATAAAAAAGTGATTTGCCCAAAAGCAAGAAAACTAGCGAAAAAATATATCACGTTTATTTTTGGAATGCGCCGCTTACTTTAAGTATATTCTTTCATTACCCGATGATCTACTAAATGGTAAGAAAAAAAATCGTAAAAAGGTGATGGGTTGATAACGAAAATACCCTTCTTTTTGTCTTTATTATTCAGGAAAGCTAGCGGCCATTCAATATTAACTTTTTCTCTTCAATGGCATCCACCAATAATAAAGTCTGGTCTGCTGTCCAGTTGGGCTTCCTTTTCTTTCGTGGGGTTGAGACTGCCATTTACTCACCAAACAACACAGCAAGGAAAGGCCACCGATTACTATCCTTTGTTAATAAATCCTCATTCAAACCGCATAGATTAGTTTTTTTTAATGATCAAAATGTATATAAATGTAAATATTGATATTAATATTCATAATATTATTGAGGTTATTCAGCCAAAATACCATTTCATAAGATGAACTCCTGCTCCCTTTAGCGCTGTTTAACGGTACAGTATTTTAACAACTATTTGGCGGTTGGTAAAATTTTGCTAGTTAAGCTTTTTTGTATAACTTTTAAATTTTACTGCTAGCTAACAGTACTATTATGTCATTAGCATAAGTTTTGTGTATACGGGCCCTGGCAACCACATTGTATGGGTCACTGCTCCACGAATTCAGTCGGTGATTGATATTGATTTTGCCACTTACAGCGGCTACTTTATTGTCGCCCACACTCATCCTGTGAGCGGTAGCAAAAGGATTACAGAGTAGAGTTTACAAAGGGTCATAATAATTAACCCCCGTTGTCAGGATATTATGGCACTGAATGTTACAGTATTTCATTTGCATTATTTGTTTAGTTCTATACATAAAGGGTAACTTATTCACAAATCGTGAGTACAGGCGTGTGAGGCAGTATGTCTGGCGCTGTTATTCACATTCGTGAGTATTCAAGCTTGCGTTTTGGTTCTGTACATGAGACTTGATATAGTTACTAAGTGCAAAAAGTGGATACAATCTTAATATGGGCTATCTTGCCATTAGAGATGAAGTGTTGTGCCATTTCACACAATGTGCTGGACCTGTCCCTAAAAGGTTCTATCTTACAGTCGAGGCGTGGTGTTCAAGTGTAATGGCCATATGGCCACACACTTTAATTAATTTGTTTACATCTGCTTGAGGAACATACTGCCAAATTTCCCATTTTCTATGATGAAAATTCCCATTTTCTATGATCAAATTTCTCTTTTCTATGATCAAATTTCCCATTTTCTATGATGAAAGTTCCCATTTTATGATGAAAATTCCCATTTTCGATGATGAAAATTCCCATTTTCCATGATGAAAATTCCCATTTTCCATGATGAAAATTCCCATTTTCTGTGATGAAAATTCCCATTTTCTGTGATGAAAATTAAATTTTCTCTTATGAAAAATACCATTTTTTGTGATCAGATTTCCTGCTTTCTACAATGAAAATTCCCATTTTCTATGATCAAATTTCCCATTTTCTGTTATGAAAATTCCCATTTTCAATGATGAAATTTCCCATTTTCAATGATGAAATTTTCCATTTTCTATGATGAAAGTTCCCATTTTCTGTGATGAAAATTCCCATTTTCTATGATGAAAATTTCCATTTTCTATGATGAAAATTTCCCATTTTCTTTGATGAAAATTCCTATTTTCTATGATGAAAATTCCCATTTTCTACGATCAAATTTCTTTTCTATGATCAAATTTCCCATTTTCTATGATGAAAGTTCTCATTTTCTATGATGAAATTCCACATTTCTGTGATGAAATTTTCCCATTTTCTATGATGAAAATTCCCATTTTCTATGATGAAATTTCAAATTTCTAAGATGAAAGTTCCCATTTTCTATGATGAAAATTCCTATTTTCTATGATGACATTTCCCATTTTCTATGATGACATTTCCCATTTTCTATGATGACATTTCCCATTTTCTATGATGAAAATCCCCCTTTTCTACGATGAAAATTCCCATTTTCTATGATAAAATTTCCCATTTTCTTTGATAAAAATTCCCATTTTCTATGATCAAATTTCCCATTTTCTGTGACGAAATTTCACATTTCTATGATTAAAAATCCCTTGTCTATGATGAAATTTCCCATTTTCTATGATCAAATTTCTCTTCTATGATCAAATTTCCCATTTTCTATGATGAAAATTCCCATTTTCTATGATGAAAATTCCCATTTCTATGATGAAATTTCCCATTTTCTGTGATTAAAATCCCCTTTTTCTATGATGAAAGTTCCCATTTTCTAGGATGAAAAATTCCCGTTTTCTATGATGAAATTTCCCATTTTCAATAATGAAAAATCAAATTTTCTATGATGAAAAATACAATTTTCTACAATCAAATTTCCTGCTTTCTACAATGAAAATTCCCATAAAATTTATGAAAATTTTGGAAAAATTTCTGAAAATTTTCGAATTTATGAAAATTTTGGGAAAATTTGGAAATTTTTGGGCAAATTTTCCGAAAAATTGGAGAATTTTAAGAAAATTTTGGAAAAATGTTTGAAAATTTTTCTAAAAATTTTGGAATTTTTTCCAAATTTTTCAAAAATTGTCTGAAATTTTTGGAAAATTTTAAGAAAAATTTGGAAAATTTTAAGAAAATTTTGGATCTGGGGAATTTTCCAAAATTTTTCCAAAATTATCTGAATTTTTTTGGAAAAATTTCTGAAAAAATTCGAATTTCTGAAATTTTTTGGAAATTTTTAAAAAAAAAATGGAAATTTTCTGAAAATTTCTGGGAAAATTTGGGAAAATTTTTGGAAAAGTTTGCGAAAATCTGGGGAAATTTTTGAAAAACCTAGGGAAATTTTTGGAAAATCTAGGGAAATTTTTGGAAAATTTGGGGAAAATTTTTGAATTTTTGTAAAATTTGTTGGAAATTTTTGTAAAATTTTTGGAAATTTCCCCAGATTTTCCAAACAATTCCCTAGATTTTCAGAAATTTCCCCAGATTTTTAAAAAAATTCCCCAGATTTTCCAAAAATTTTGGAATTTTTTTTTACATTTTTCGAAAAATTTGGAAAATTTTTCGAAATTTTCGGATAATTTTCGGAAAATTTCTGAATTTTTTGGGAAGTTTTTGGAAAAATTTCTGTACATTTTTGGAAAATTTTGGAAAAGTTTTGGAAAAATCCTGAAATTTTTTGGAAAATTTCAGAATATTTGGGAAATTTTTTGGAAAATTTTGTAAAATTTTTGGAAAATTTTGGTAAATTTTAGGAAATTTTCTTAAAATTTCTGGGAAAATTTTTCATAAGATTTGTTATTGCTTGATATTGATTTTGTGTGATCTTCCAAAAATCTTATTATTATTGTTATTTATTTTATACTGTACACATAGGTGGTGGTGGTGGGAATAATTTATTAAATGTTCATATATTTATTGACTTGTTTAATTTTTGGCATTATAACTTAACTTTTGTTTGGAGAACTTGGGATTAATAATATAATAAATAAAACCAATACATTTGAAAGACTTCAGTGATTTGCGTTTATGTAACAATCTACCCTAGTGACAATGCCGTCCTGCCATTTTAAAAAAAGCGGTGACGCTTAATGGGTTTACTTAGGAGAGAGACCGTGTATTCCAAGGGTTAGAAAACGATCTCAATAATCAACTACAATTACCAGTAACAGCAAGTTAGTATTTGTTTATGTCTGTCTATTTAATATTTATCTATCCATCACTCTATCTAACTTGAGAGAATGTAAACTTGCAAGCAGAAATAAGGGGGAGGGGCGCCAATGATGATAGTAGCCCCCTTGAGATACATACTATGCCCTTGGCCTCCCGTGTAATCTATAAAAACTTCAACTTATCATGGTGATAAGAAAGAACTTGTAGTAAGCATTATACATACCCCTCTCACATATTTCATGTCTGTGGAGGCAGGGAATATCTTCTTCTCCACCACAAGATTCCTGAAAAAAAAAATATATTATTGTTTTAACCACATCAAGATGTGACATACAACTACAGATCTATGGGTATATGTAGTAGCACCACTATTCCAGAGTACTATATTGTAACACCAAGAGCCCTGAGTACTGTATTGTAACACCACTAGCCCTGAGTACAGTACTGCATAGTAACACCCCTAGCCCTGAGTACAGTACAGTACTGTATAGTAACACCGCTAGCCCTGAGTACTGTATAGTAACACCCCTAGCCCTGAGTTCTGCATAGTAACACCACCAGCCCTGAGTACTGCATAGTAACACCCCTGTTATATATATATATGTATGTTTATATGCTGCCTTTATTGATTATATATATATTATATATTATGTTACTTCTTACCAAAGTCAGAAAGTGTTTAGGTTTGTGTAAACATGAAATGTGTTAGGCACGTTGTAACCAACACCAGAGAATAAACTCCCCAGCTAGACTGACCATGTGACTCGTCATTCTCCCATTAAATAACGCAAGATACTTCACTGGCGACGAGGATGGGATTGGCAAAGTGTTTGTGAACTCCTTGAAGAGAGAATAGTGACCACTGAAGGGAAAGCTACTCTGAACCTGGAGAATTTAAGTGAAGAGAGCAACCATGGCTGGTGTCACTGGATACATGGGAAGATTAGGGGAGTATGATGCAGACAAGGAAGATTTCACATCATACTGTGAGAGAATGGACTTCTTCTTTTTGGCAAATGAATTAATGGACGACGGTGGTGATGCTCGGAAGAGAAAGGCCCTTGAAGAGAAAAGGAAGGCAATCTTTTTGACAGAGGTAGGAGCTAATGTTTATTCTACTCTGGTCAATTTGCTGGTTCCAAACAAGCCCAAAGACTCCTCACTAATTCAGATTACCAAGATTCTGAAGCAACATTTTGATCCTGCTCCACTTGAGATCGCTGAAAGTTACAAATTTGGCACAAGAGATAGAGGTAAAGATGAATCAGTAAGTAATTATATAGTAGCTTTGAAGAAATTATCCATTCACTAACTTTGGACAGTTCTTGAACCGAGCTCTAAGAGACAGGTTTGTAATAGGCCTGAATTATGAAAAAATACAGAATAAGTTAATGAACACCACTAACTTAACTTTTGAAAGTGCATGTCAGATAGCTACGAGTATGGAATTGGCGGAGAAAAACACCAGAGAATTTGTTCCCAATGCTGGTAGTGAAACAGTTGGCAGTAGTGGCTCAGTGTGTAAACTAACTGTAGCTAAAAGGAATAATTATACCACAAAACAAAGAACAAATGCTGATTTAAAATGTAAGAGGTGCCGAGGGAAACATGAAAGCTTTCTGTGTAAGTTCAAGAATTCAAAATGTTACAATTGTCAACGTATTGGACATATTGCTCCTGCCTGTAGAAGTGATAGAGGTAGAGTATATGCCGTTGAAGGTGGAGAGAAGGAAATGAAAAACAGTATTCATGAGAGTGTTAGTAATTTTGGATCTGATACTGATGAGAGTGCCCATGTGTTTACTATTTACACCAGTCGCGAAGAGAAAGTTAAACATAGGTATAATGTGGACTTGTGTATTAATGACACACCTGTAACCATGGAAATGGATACTGCAGCTGATTTCTCCATAATGAGTAAAGATATGTATGAGAAACTATTTGTGCATGTGCCTTTAGAAGAATCCGGTATCAAGTTGAGAACTTATACTGGAGATTTTGAACACAGAAGGTAAATTAGAGTGTGAGGTAAAGTACAAAAATCAGAATTTAAAGTTGCCATTAATTATAGCTAGTTATGTGAATAGACCAACTTTGTTAGGTAAGAACTGGTTGTGTGAACTTGAGATGGACTGGAAGGAGATATTTAGTGTTAGAATGTGTAACAGTATTCCAGGTCTTGAGAAATTGCTTGAAAAATACAAGATTTTATTTGTAAAGGGACAGGGTGGTATAAAGGGTTATGAAGCTCATATTACCATTGACAAAGATGTTACACCCATATATGCTAAGTCCAGACCTGTTCCTTATGCATTGAAAGGTGAGGTTGAGAAGGAATTAGACAGACTTGTGAGTGAGGGAATTATTGTGGAAACCGCCAAGAGCAATTGGGCTGCTCCAATAGTAATTGTACCTAAAGCTGATAAATCTGTTAGACTATGTGGTGATTATAAAGTTACCATTAACCAAGCTGTTGAGGATGAGAAATATCCCTTACCCACATCTCAAGATTTGTTTGCTGCACTAACAGGTGGAACCATTTTCACTAAGTTAGACTTGTCCCAAGCATATGCTCAGGTCTCTGTTGATGCTGAAAGTCAACAGTACCTTACCATCAACACTCATAAAGGATTGTATAAGTTCAAAAGGTTGCCTTATGGTGTTAAAAGTGCACCAAAGTTATTTCAGTGCATCATGGACAAAATTCTTGTGGGTCTTCCCAATGTGTTATGTTTTCAGGATGATGTCCTTATTGTTGACAGTGACATCCAAAATCATGTCAAAACCCTAGCCACAGTATTCGAAAGATTGTTGGCACACAATGTCAGGCTCAACAAGAGCAAATGTTCATTCCTAGCTAAAGAAATAACTTATCTTGGCATAGTGTACACATCCCATACTTGATCCCAGGAGATAAGAAATTTTTTGCACACTGCATTCAAAACGCTCTGCATTCCAGAATTTATGTTGTATTCCTCCACTAATCATTTGACAATGTATGTTAGCAACACTAGTTAACTCTGGTCATCATAAATACTTCTGTATTCTCCATTGAGATGTGACAGCTAGTGATGTCGAGGTCAACCTGCTTCCAGTCACAAGGGTTGAGACAATAATGTTGGTGTCATAGGTCAGTTTTAGGAGACACATCATAGTGTAAACTTGTGGATTTACTTCACTGCCCGGAAGACTTCAGATTATAAGGTAAGAAACGATGAAACTAATTCTGTAAAAAGCATTATGCTTTTCTAATTATGGAAAACATGTATATTGTTGTGATTATGTTCAGAGATGCATTTCTACAAGTCTCAGAAATCATTTTCCCCCCTTCATTCACAGCAAATCTCCACCAATGCATTTGGGTGTTAAATCATCACTTTGATCAGAAAGAATTTATGTTCTTAAAATACAATGACAAGGCAATATTTCCTAAAGTTCAGGTTCAGTTCTAAAAAATAATTATGACTGTCCTCAATATGTCATTTATAGCTATTTCCTGTATTGAAGCCAAGTTTAACAGCAATCCGATATGGCAGAAACCATATGCCTGACATGTCCTATGTGATGTGTGGAACAAGTTGTTGTATGATCAGATTTAGGATTCAGTATCCATTGAAATATATTTCTCAGATTCCTGCCACCATGATTCTCCTGACCTCCATGACACCTGGACTAACACTGGACAATGAAGGTCGTAACAGAGAATCAACCCATCGCCCAACTGGCTAGTAAGCTGACAACTGATGGAAATGATAAATTAAAAATAAAAATCTGAAGTGAAGTGTAAATAATCACTCTTTTTTGCAAGCAGCAGAGAAGGCGTCCCACCAGGGGTTTTTGCCGTCATCCACACACGTCTGTTCCTTCAACACGCACTGAAAAGGAAACAAAAATAATGGTAATAACGAAATAAATCCTCAATCCCTTCACTATAGGGGACATCACTTTTATTATTTTATTTGGCTCAGAAGTGACATTGTACATACCGGTAAGGGGTTAGGCTAGGAGTCAAACAAGTTCTGAATAATGCTAATTTTCTTTCCAAATTTTATAACCATTATTTTTATATCTACACTATATATACAGGTACTGTATATTTTTTTATAACTGCATTGTCTATGTGCATTGTATACCTGCATTGTCTCTATACACGATGAATCTAATAAAAATAGTTATTCAATACATATTCTTCTTTATAAACAAACTACTATACAGCAAAGCCTCAAATTACGATGATTCTACTAACAACGATTCATATTTAAAACCCTGGTGAATTTAGGACCCAATTCAATTTACACCGTTATTTTATTCGTATTTACGATAAAATTGAATATAAAATAAGATTAAATTACATTTTCATAATAAATAAAAACTAAATCCTGATATGCATTATAAAAAAAACCACACCTAGAGCACGGATGCTACCGGGCTGGTGAGTGGTGACGCCAGCATCACTAACATAAACAGTCGCAGCTTAGCAGGCATTTTATTATCACGTACCTGAACAGGAACAGGAGAGAAACTTTCTCGGGTATCTTACGGCATTTTTGTGCCCCTATTCTACACGAGGTGAGAGGTCTGTGGATATCTCACGCACATACTTTGGGGATGGAAGAATCAACAGTAAAAACTATCCGTAAGAATGAAGAAAAAATTAAAGAAACTGCTCAGTCTACAATTCCGTTAAGTGGAAATAAAGTTTGCCAAAGCAGGAGTGGGATTATGGAAGAAAAGGAGAGACCTTTAAGTATATGGATTGAAGTAAAAAATCAGAAGCATACTCCACTGAGCACTGTAATTATTCAAACAAAAGCCCAAGCATTGTTTAATGATTGGCGAGTAGAACTTTTGTTTTACACTCATAAGCATTAATTAAAATATATATGAACAGTAATGTGTAGCTTTCAGATTATGTACAGAAATAACACTATGTTTTCACATGTGCAGACGTATATATATGTTGGCCTTGTGCAATGTCTCACTTTTCTTGACCATCAGTGGTTACTTCTACAGTATTGTGCCATTTACATTAAATAACATTACTGTAATTAAAGCATATTTTTTTTTTTACATTTCTTTTACTACAACTACAACCAGGGTCTTATTTTCTTCAGCTTCATATGGAGAACCATCGTCATGGGTGTAAACACTTACAAAAATAATGCCTTCTTGTCTCCTCTTGTGTGTTTTAATATTCTACTTATTATTTATGAATACAGGTTGACAATCTCTTATCCGAAATCCTTGGGGCCAGAGGCATTTCGGAATTTTTCGGTTTTCAGAATGTTTTTTTTTTTTTTTTTTTTAATATTAGCCCACCCAGGCACAAGTCAATGACCCACATTGGGGCCTGGGAGGCGATAATATTATAATAATAATAATAATTTTAATAATTATAATAATAACAATAATTCATAGGTCTAGGCCGTGTTTCTCACTTTTTATCTTTTTTCATTCTTGTATTTCTTTATTATTATTATTATTATTATTATTACAGTGAACCCTCACTTTAGGCGGTCAATTGAACCCACGGAGGCCCGCGTAAAGCGAACAACATAACATATGGGATTAAATGAAATAGAGACCGGCTCACCCCCCAAACTCCACTTTTTCCGACACAATACCTATGTTCTAGTAAAAATAACATCTTAATTTTATGATGGTACATGCACACAATTAATACTTAAGAGAAATAGAGAAATACAGTCGCCAAGTTAATGTCCATTCAAATAATGGACTCAACTCCCTCCCCCTCTTCTCACACTGTTGGCTCTTCCCCCTCTGAGAAATGTTTGGGGGAAACCACTAGATTTTAAGGTATAGTAATAAATAATACCTCAAACTAAAGTTAGGATAATATAATTGACATTGCTGGATTCCTTGTAAGACCAGGAATACCCGGTATTTTGAATATAAATGTCATATATTTTGCACAAAAGATAACATATTTGCTCTGAGTAAACAAAATACTTGCATTAGATCTAAAATTTGTATGTCTAATGCAAAATCTATGATGCTTATATTCAAAATGATCATCAAATTGTAAGAATTCCAGCAATGAAATTATATTCTGGCCGGATAATTTGTATGAATTTTATGAGCTAAATAAAAAAATTATACTTCACCCGCGTTTATGAGTAGATGCACTGCGTAATGTGGGAATTCCGGTTCTGGCAGGGTACCGCGTAAATGTAGAAACGCGTAAAGTGAAACCTCGTAAAGCGAGGGTTCACTGTATTATCATTTTATTAATGCAGTATTATTGTTATTATTTTTATTATTATTATTATTATTATTTTATTTTGGTGTATTTTTCATTAAAATTTGTATTTACTATGAATAATTATATTATCCTAACTTTAGTCTGAGGTATTATTTATTACTAAAAAGGTAAATATTCAGGTTTCTCCCAAACATTTCTCTGGTAGAGAGAGTTGGTGGGGGGAGGGGGGAGGGAGGGACCGACCGACCATCTGGCGAGGTTGGAAGAGGGGGAAGGCAAGGTAGGGTGTTTTGATTGACAGATAGTGTTGTGAAGAATATTTTTTTTTTATTAACTGAAGATATTTGTTTTAGCTCATAAAATTCATACAAATTTCCCGGCCAGAATATAATTTACATTGCTGGAATTCTTACAATTTGATGATCATTTTGAATATAAACATAATAGATTTTGCATTAGACATACAAATTTTAGATCTAATGTAAGTATTTTGTTTACTCTGAGTAAATATGTTATCTTTTGTGCAAAATATATGACATTTATATTCAAAATATTCCTGGTCTTACAAGGAATCCAGCAATGTCAATTATATTATCCTAACTTTAGTTTGAGGTATTATTTATTACTATACCTTAAAATCTAGTGGTTTTCCCCCAAACATTTCTCAGAGAGGGAAGAGCCAGAGGGGGAGGGAGTTGAGTCCATTAACTTGGCGACTGTATTTCTCTATTTCTCTTAAATATTAATTGTGTGAATGTACCATCATAAAATTAAGATGTTATTTTTACTAGAACATAGGTATTGTGTCGGAAAAAGTGGAGTTTGGGGGTCAGCTGGTCTCTATTTCATTTAATCCCATATGTTATGTTGTTCACTTTACGCGTTTCTCGCTTTACGCGGGCCTACGTGGGTTCAATTGACCACGTAAAGTGAGGGTTCACTGTATTACTATTACATTTTCGCCCCCCCAGGCCCTGATGTGGGTCAGTGATATATGCCTGGGTAAGCTAATCCCTGTTTAAAAAAAAATGCTCCACAAAAAACTTTCGGTTTTCAGAGCTTTTTGGTTTTCGGAATTTTCGATAAAGGGTTGTCAACCTGTATTACTGTTCATTTTACATATATAAACATTATTTCAATCAAATAGACATTCAGTAATAAATAATTATGAATCTTTTGTACATATTTGTAATAAGAGAAACGACGCTTTGTTTCCACGAGTACACACGTTGGCCTTACACTATAAGTCTCACTTTTTTTTCTTTACCATCAGTGGTTACTTGCACTGTTCATTAAATAACATTAATTAAACCATACATATTTTTTTTTTACATTAATTTTACTACAGCAACAACCAGGGTTTTGTATTCTTCAGTTTCAGATGGAGAACCATTGTCATGGGTGTACCGGGTAAACACTGACAACAACAATGGCATCCTGTCTCCTCTTGTGTGACTACATATTATTATTGATTTATATTGTACAAGGTGCATTCCTAAACTACATATTATTATTGATTCATATTGTACAAGGTGCATTCCTAAACATTATTTAAGAATATAGTTTTTATTTTTCATAAATTTTACTGTTTTAGAGGAATAAAGGGTAAAAACATCCACAAAATATATGAAAAGGTCACACTAGGGAACGTATCTCATTATTATTGGTTTATTTTAATGGTAATTAATGATTCACGATACGACGATTCACCTTACACCACAATATTGGAAGACACATTACCATCGTTATTCAAGGCTTTACTGTATCAAAAATTTTAGAATTGCATAAAATTTTATAAAATGAAAGTGAAATCACTGACCAGTTCCCGTGCTTCATAAGTGATACCGTCCCCAGCTGCCTTCAACCACCCTTGGAGCTTTGCCTCAAAAGTACCTACATCTGATGGGGCAACACGTGCATCAATTGTAACTTTTATTTCTGCAGGCAAGACATTCGTTTGTACTCCTCCCTGCAAAGAGAGATGAAAAATATTCATGACTGGATCCTAGAATATTTTGATCAAGGGAAAAGTAGAGATGGGAGTAGAATTTGATTGTCAAGGAGGTTCTCAAGTTACCTAGAAGAGACAGACCACCAGGGAGTACCTTTTGGTACAATGATCGGAACACATACATACACAGTGCTCGGTGGCTGCTACAATGGGCATATGGACAACAATAAGCAATGTTATTCTGCAAGTGAGATTATTATCCCTCACCTCCACTACAGTAAGATTATTATCCTCACCTCCACTACAGTAAGATTATTATCCTCACCTCCACTACAGTAAGATTATTATCCTTCACCTCCACTACATTAAGATTATTATCCCTCACCTCCACTACAGTAAGATTATTATCCTCACTTCTACTACAGTCAGATTAACAGTAGTCACATCACCAAGGTGTAGTTCAGGATTCTCCCTCAACTTCCGCTCTTGTTCATTGCGGTAGCCAAGGACAGAGTTGATGACAAGCCGCAGCTTCTCCCCAGCGTTGTTGGGGATGAACTGTGATCCATGGCCTGGCTGCCCTTGGATTCTGATGTATATTGCTTGGGGAAAAAAATAATAAAGAAAAACAGAGACCTCTAATTTTCCTATAGTGCACAACCTGTCATAATTGTCCAGTCAGACTCCTGCATTACAGCTCCTTCTGTCATCTCTTGGGCATTAAAAGAGATGCAGGGTAATATACTCAATAGTATACCCATTTTGCCTCTTGTCAACTTACTAGTAGGTTAGGTGGATGGTGATTTCTTTTTTACACACCAGGTTAAGTTAGGTTAAGTCACGATAGGGTAGATTAGCTTCACTGGTTTGTTGTTTAATTCTAGTGTGCATTACCATCTAGATAGTAAACTAACAGCTATTCATGGTACAGCGGTAGTACACTTGCCTCTCACCACTAGAGTCTCAGGTTCGATCCCCTGCCAAACATCACAGGCTTTCTCTGGGTACTACCCTTAAACAATAAAGTTCATGACAAAGTAACAAACTGACTGCCCAGATGGCTAGTAAGCTGGTAAGTGGTAAAATGATAAATAAATAAAAGACAGTATACAGGGGGTCCCCAACTTACGAACGTCCGACTTAGGAATGCCCACCGATACGAACGAGGGTAAACTTTAAATTTATAGTATTTTATTCACCTGATGACTTATTTTTTACTTTCATTTACTGTATTTTGTCATTCTATTTCTTCTTTTATCTTAAATTAAGTGATTTTAGATGCATATAAGGATATGTGTTTCAACTTACGTACATTTTTGACCTGTTTGTAACCCGGGGACCCCCTGTATATAACAAAAATAAATATTACATGTCACCATAAACATAACTGCAATGTAAATAAAGCCAAAATAAAAATTTGAAGAAACTATTGCTGAACTTACGAAAGGGAGTTCTTTGACCATAGAACAATTCCATTTTGTCAGAAGTGTTGGCATAGCCTTCATCAAGAGCAAGACCAATGTTCATATTCTTGAATACGTCCATCTTGACCAGTTGCCCCATGCCTTCAGTGCCACCAAGTTCCTCCTCTGTAAGTATAAGAGGTAAAATTGTGTTATTAACTACAATATGGTTATCAGGATTTTATTAAGTTCACTAAGGTAAATCTTATATTGGTAAACTGTATAGTACCTCATTAAAAGAAAAAAGAGATCACCTGAAGATTTGACCTTCCCCAGCTTATTTCACCAGAAGATTAAACAACCTAACATTATCTGAAGGGGTTAAGTTTGGTTTGGTTGGGTTAGGCTGTGTTGGGTTTGATTAAGTTAGGTTAGGTGTAATTAGTCTGGGTTTGGGTATATAAAAAAAATCATCTATTTGAGAATTGTCCAAGTGGTATGTAAACCTCAATACAGACCGACTGCAAGTTACTTAGTTCATACATCTTGACCCCAACAGTATGACCACCAATCTTATGCACTATTAAACTTTTGTGAAATAATGTATCATACAATCCACTGAAATTGAATCACCTGAAGAATCTCCATCCCAACTTACTGCACCTAAAGATTAACCTCCCTAACCTAACCTATCTTATCCTAACCTAATGGTAACCTTACCTAATACTAACCTAACCTAATCTAACCTCATCCCCCAAATAGTGTTAGGGTGGTTATTCTTTAGGTAAAATAAGAGGTTGGTCCTCAGAGTAAAGAGATTCTTCATGCAGATTATAAAACATAAGGCATCACACAGACAACACAAACATAACAGGTGGATAACACTATACCATCACAAAAGGTGCAGGAAATTTGGTGTATAGACACAATTGAACTGAACAAGTACTGTACAGCACAGGCAGACCCCAAATTAAAAGGATTTGATTTATGAAAACTCAGATAAAAGAATAAAAAATGCAACAGCCTTTGGTTTGCAAGTGAAAACTTAGAATCTATGAAAAATATTCATTAGTAATAGTGAAAATATGCAAAAAAAAGAAGTTATTTTTACTACCAAGACAGTATCTCCATATTAAGTACCTACATTATAATGACCCCACTGAAAGCTGATTCACTGAAATCTCTTCTCTAGGAATGCATCCTGAGCTTTCAATGGAATATTACTGTACAGTACTGTCACCCTGGCTGGTCCCCGAGATACCTGGTATGCTAGAAATTGTCAGTTGAATGAAAACGTCGAAAGGAAGGTCATCTCGGGTACCTAGAGAGATTAAAATCCTTGCAATTGCCTAGCTTATACTATAAATGGGCAATGGGTGACTTAATAGAAGTTTATAAACACCTCAGAGGACATTACTCAGTTGAGTGTTCATACCTGGAAGCAGCTAGAATGCCAATCAGTAGTGAAGAGGATAAATTAAGATAACAGATTTCAGTACTAAGTGTTGATCTTAAAAAAAAATTCAGAAAAGCTGTGGGACTGAACCATTTTTTTGTTTTGTTTTATTGGACATCCCCCTACATCCTGTGCAAGGTAAAGCGCAGAAGCATTTACAGCGCCCAACAGGGAAGCATGCTAAGTTCATGCTTGCCTTTATGTCTCATGAGTTACGGGCGTAGAAGCCTGAAGAGTCAAGGGCATAGAAGCCTGAAGAGTCAAGGGCGTAGAAGCCTGAAGAGTCAAGGGCATAGAAGCCTGAAGAGTCAAGGGCGTAGAAGCCTGAAGAGTCGATGGCTTATGTCATTAAGTTATTGGAAGCTCCAACAACTCCCTGAATACGAATTTGCAACTTTTCAATTTACAACAGGTACAGTACCTACTTACTGCTAGGTGAACAGAGACCAAGGGGGCTAGGAAGAGTGTCCAAACAACTTCCGCCGGCCTGGGAATCGAACCTGTGACATCTTGCTTGTGAGGCAAGAGCGGTACCGCTCTACCACCAGCGCCCCCTGACTGAACCATTAACATCAGCAAACTACATCACCCAACCATACCAAGCAAGACCAACTCAATGTTATGACAGGAGGTTTGAGGGCTCGGTTAGTTTAGGTTATGTTGCTTCAATTTATATACTATTACTGTATTAATAGTTTACTTCTCAGCCTCCCTTAGGGAATATTCCTGACAAGACTATGGCACTTACTACAAAGAGTTCAAATTTTCTATTCTTAATCTAGCACTTGTATTTTTTTTATTCTCCCTCCCTGGGTTTACATTATAACAGAAACAAATGTATCAGCAAAGATCCCTTCAAAAATGGCAAGGAATAAAGTGGTGTGCAAGGAGGTAGTGTGACTGGTACAGGTTGTACCTCTCTAGTCCGGCAACCTCGGGACCTGACCGGTGCCGGACCATGGAAATTGCCGGACCATGGAAATTCACCCTTTTCCTGGATAGATAGTGACTTGTGCTTATGCTTGGAAGCACTAGCACCACTTTCTCTGCAGCATGGTCTCTTTGAAGACATATTGAAGGGTTAAATGTCGTATAGTAGCTTCTCAAATTTCGCGAGTTTTTAATTCTTAACGTATTTTAATGGAACACACAAAAAATAAATAAATTAAAATTTTGACGGCAGAAACTTGAATTTCGACGGGTTTGAACGGCCCGCCAATGTGCAGACGACATGCATAATCGTGTAAATAGCGTCATTTCCCTTATGTACAAAAGATTCATTATTGTTTTTTTACTGAATGTCTTTTTTATTGAATTAATGTTTGTGTGCAAAATGAGCAATACAATTCATTAATAATACGTAGAATATTAAAACACACGAGGAAATGACACAGCATTGTTTTCGTTGATTACAAAACCAGTGACTGACTGGTTCTACATATAAAACTGAAGAAAATAAGACCTTGGCTGTAGCTGTAGTAAAATTAATATGGTCGTTTTAAGTAATGTTATTTAATGTTAATAAATGGAACAATAGAAGTAGCTAACGATAATGGTAAAGAAAAAAGAGAGATCGCGTATGTAACTGCGCATGCGCACACGTGAAAAAATATCGTCATTATTTTACATACGAATATGAAAGCAACATTTATTTACTGTTCATATATATTTTAATTAATGTTTCTGAATTTGTTTTTATTGAATTAATGTTTGTGTGTGCAAAATTAACAATACAATTTATTAATAATACGTGGAATATTAGAGGAGACGAGACGGCTGCCGGCATTGTTATGTTAAAGCTTACAAAACCAGTGACTGATTGGTTCTACATATAAAACTGAAGAAAATAAGACCCTGATTTTAGCTGTAGTAAAATTAATGTAAAAAAATTTATATGGTTGTTTGAAGTACCTGTAATGTTATTTAATGTTAATAAATGGAACAATATAAGTAGCTAACCATTAATGGTAAAAAAAGTGAGACCGCGTATGTAAGTGCGTACATGTGAAAACATATCGTCATTACTCTACATAAGAACATTTATTTACTGCTCATATATATTGAAGGGTTAAATGTTGTACTCTGTATAGACAAGCAGAGAGAGAGAGCAGCCGAACTGCTGGATGTAAACAAACCTTAATTTCCCGTGGCTTTTTTTTTTTTTTAAGGGGATTAGCCCACCCGGGCATAGGTCACTGACCCACATTGGGGCCTGAGGGGCAAAAATTTAATACTCCTGTAAGAATAATAATAATTCAGATAAGTAAAAAAAAAAAAGCTGCCTATCTACCTATTGGACAAACTAAAGTCGTTCCGGACCACGGGAGTTTCCGGACCACAGAATGCCAGACTAGAGAGGTACAACCTGTACTGCACTTTTTGGAGGTAGTAGGTAGTAAGGAGCTAACAAACAGGGAGGTACTACCACCTGTGAAGATATTGGAAGCATAATGTGTTGTCTAATGGTAGACCCTGCTGCCATATGGCATCACAAAAATTGTGACCAAGTCCTAGGTTACTCATCTGACTTTCTGCCTCATTTATACACAATTGCAGGGTCTCAATTGTGTCTCTTACTTGGACAACACAACATGCATATATTGTTCCTCACTCTTGATTTATTTTTTCGTTTTTGTATTTATTTATGGTAATTATTATTATTATTATTTTTATTATTTTATTTTTATTTTTATTAATTTGCTATTAATTTTATTAATTGTTGTAATAATAAAGTAATAATAATAGATATTATTATTATAATTATTATATTTTTGCCTCCCAGGCCCTGATGTGGGTCATTACCTGTGCCCGGGTGGGCTAATCCTGTAAAAAAAAAAAAATCGCACCAGTAAAGTTACGTACCCATTTACAGCTGGGTGGACTGGGGGACCTCAGGATTAAACCAAAACTGTGGCAGCAGTGTAATAATATAACAGGTAGCTACAGGTTATGGGCATACAAACCTGTATAATAATATAACAGGTAGCTACAGGGCATAGGCATACAAACCTGTGTAATAATATAACAGATAGCTACTGGGTGTGGGCATACAAACCTGTGCAATAATAAAACAGGTAGCTACAGGGTGTGGGCATACAACACCTGTGTAATAATATAATAGGCAGCTACAGGGTGTGGGCATGCAAACCTGTGTAATAATATAATAGATAGCTACAGGGTGTGGGCATACAAACCTGTGCAATAATAAAACAGGTAGCTACAGGGTGTGGGCATACAACACCTGTGTAATAATATAATAGGCAGCTACAGGGTGTGGGCAAAACCTGTGTAATAATATAATAGATAGCTACAGGGTGTGGGCATACAAACCTGTGTAATAATATAATAGATAGCTACAGGGTGTGGCATACAACACCTGTGTAATAATATAATAGATAGCTACAGGGGTGTGGGCATACAAACCTGTGTAATAATATAATAGATAGCTACAGGGTGTGGGCATACAAACCTGTGTAATAATATAACAAGTAGCTACTGGGTGTGGGCATACAAACCTGTGTAATAATATAACAGATAGCTACAGGGTGTGGGCATACAAACTTGTGTCATAATATATCAGGTAGCTACAGGGTGTGGGCATGCAAACCTGTGTAATAATATAATAGGCAGCTACAGGGTGTGGGCATACAAACCTGTGTAATAATATAATAGGCAGCTACAGGATGTGGGCATACAAACCTGTGTAATAATATAATAGGCAGCTACAGGGTTTGGGCATACAAACCTGTGTAATAATATAATAGGCAGCTACAGGGTGTGGGCATACAAACCTGTGTAATAATATAATAGATAGCTACAGGGTGTGGGCATACAAACCTGTGTAATAATATAATAGGTAGCTACAGGGTGTGGGCATACAAACCTGTGTAATAATATAATAGGCAGCTACAGGGTGTGGGCATACAAACCTGTGTAATAATATAATAGATAGCTACAGGGTGTGGGCATACAAACCTGTGTAATAATATAATAGATAACTACAGGGTGTGGGCATACAAACCTGTGTAATAATATAATAGGCAGCTACAGGTTGTGGGCATACAAACCTGTGTAATAATATAATAGATAGCTATAGGGTGTGGGCATACAAACCTGTGTAATAATATAATAGATAGCTACAAGGTGTGGGCATACAGACCTGTGTAATAACATGGGCTGCATTGGGCCTACCAATGCAGTCCAACTCCAATGTTTGTTTTACTGGAAATAAGACACCAGGCGAGCATCTACTCCGTCATCACTACCTGTACAGGGTATTTCACAGGTGGGTATGAGAGCCAGTCTATGTGGGGGGCCGACTGAAACAGTATTGTATTGTTCATCGTGTCTCACACCCCAAAACCACATTTTTAGCCAGTAGATCCTAAACCATGGGTTAGTTAAGACTTCCTCATCCTCCCCTTCCTTACGACCGTCCGTGACACGAGACTATGTTTGCCAACCACAAAGCTTTATATTATTCCTCATGGAAAGAAGATCATGTGTGAAGGCCTGGTTGTAACAAGAGCGATTCAGCTAGCCTAGTGAACCTAAGTGGTTAATCACGTCACCTTACCAGTTCTCCTGCACGACACCGTCTACAATGACTGTCAATGACACGAGACTATGTGTGCCGACCCAAGGTTTGTTATTCCCCGTGGAAAGATCACGTGTGAAGGCCTGGTTGCAAATAGAGCGATTCAGGCTGGCAGTGCATGTATCACTTGAGGAATTAAGGCTCTGTTAAGTCATACCCATAGTAGAGTAATCAATTGTGCATCCCCAGGTTGAAAATTCCCTCTTTACAATATTAATTTTATTATGGCATTAATGTAAGTGACTCATATATCCATGCAAATTGTATATCATTGTATGGAAGCTTGCCAAATAAATGCAAGTGCAATTATCTGCCCGTACCTGTGATCCTATCTTATTATTACCAATAACTTGGATGGATGTTGGAAATTAATTGAATTCATTAAATCATCTTTCATCAAGTATAAATCACATGGAATGTCAGGTGGTGGAGTGAATTTCTTCGTAGATACACCATAATCTCCTGTAGGTAACCAGTGTGAAGGTATCTAACTCTTCGGTAAGAAATTAAGAAACACATAATATTATATCCATCCCCATAATTCCGTGACACCTGTGTAATAAATAATATAATAGGTAGCTACAGGGTGTGGGCATACAAACCTGGTACAAAGGTGAGGTGGATGGTGCGGAGAAACTTGTGACCAGCCTTCTTCAGTCGCTTGAGAGCCTCGAGGTACATGATGCCGACACACTTCATGTCTTGGGTTCCTCGGCCATATATGTCCCCATTCTCGTCCTTGTGCGCACTGAAGGGCTCGTACTTCCAAAATTCCTGTTGAAAAAACTTTAACATTAGGTATGGTTATTTAATCTATCTACAGAAAAAACATAACATATAATACCTGAAAACAGCCAAAATTAACACCCCTTCTTACAGAAACTGACAGCTGAAATAACCTACGAGTAAATACTGAACAATGAAGGTCATAATCAGACTGGGATAATTTTTTATATAACTTTGAATTTTCATAAATCAAGGATTCGTAAATTAAAGCTTTGCAAATGAAAGCTTTGTAAATCGAACCTTCGTAACTCAAAATTCCATAAATCAAGGCTTCACAAGTCAAAGTTTTGTTAGTCAAAGCTTTATAAATCAAATCTTCATAAGTGAAAGTTTTCTCTATCAAAGTTTTGTACTGTATATCAAAGCTTTGTAAGACAAAGCTTCATAAATCTGAGTCTACATACAGTTTGATACATTTTAAGAATTTGAAAAAACACTACAGTATATACAGTACTACAGTGACTCAAGGCAGAATTAAATGGTTTTCCTTAATGAGTACAGTACTGAATTTGATATTTTACACAACCTTAATGATTTCACAGATGTTTTAAATGATTTTGTTGATTGAAAAGGTACTCAGGTTTTCTCTTGTACTAACACTGGATAGACCAACCACCCGAATGGCTAGTAAGCTGATAGGTGGTGAAACGATAAATAAAATAAACTTCATTACAGTAGTTACATTTGTTACATATAGATTATTTTATTTCAAGTTCTCTTGATTTCACTGAAATGTATTGCATGTATTATCTTAATGCTATAAGCAATGCCGGATTTAGACCTATGGAGGCCCATGGGCAGCCTCTTTGTGGAGGCCCCCCTCATTATAACTACCCAAGAGGGTGGGGTGGCGAGTGAAGCGAGCCTAAACATTTAGGAGTTCCGGGGGGCGCTGTAAGCCTCCCGGGAAAATTTTGAAATTTGAACAGTTCTTTGGAGAATTTTGAAGCCATATGCAGTTAGTATATTTAAAATATTAAAAATATCCGGTTCATAGGAAAGCCAGGTATTCATGAATTTCAAAGAGTAACTAGCCTAATTTCTATCACGCTTCTTGCTGAACATATTTTTACGTGATGGAATAGATAAACATGAATTTTAAAGAATGAAAATAAAAATAATCCAAATGAATAAACAAATAAATAAAATATTGTAATATGTGGAGGCCCCTGGGCAGCTGCCCACTTTGCCCACTCCTGAATCCGGCCCTGGCTATAAGAACAGGGAAGACATTCAGTTGATATTTTCTCTGTAAATACTAAGTTGTAATGCTCTTTATAAGTGAGGTGCCTCCCCGATTTGGGGTACAGTGCTGTCACCCTGTCTGGTCTCTAAGATATGCTTGAGACTGTCAGTTGATTGAGAACGTCCTAAGGAGGGCCACCTGACTGGTGCCTGCACTATGGCATATCAGTTACCCTGAGAAATTAAAACACTGCAACTGCCTAACTTATACTATAGGTGGGCAAGGGGTGACTTAATAGAAGTCTATACATTTCAGGGGACATTATTCAGTTGAGTGTCCATATCTGCAGCTGGCAAATGCCGGCTCCACTAGAGATCATGGCAGAAAACCACAATTTAAAAAAATTGTGAGGGCAAATTTTTTTGGAGTGAGAGTTGTGAACTCTTGGAACAATCTGCCAGAGAGCGTTGTGACGGTGCCGAGTGAGAGCTCATTCAAGACTAGATTTGACCAACACTGACATAGGTCCTGATACATCTTGGAACCAGTACATACCCAGTACAGTACAGTCAACCCTCACTTTACGCGGTTAATGTAACCCACAGGGTACCGCGGAAAGTGAGAAACGTGTAAAGTGAATAACATAACATATGGGATTAAATGAAATAGAGACCACCTGACCCCCAAACTCCATTTTTTCCAACACAATACCTATGTTCTAGTAAAAATAACATCTTAATTTTATGATGGTACATGCACACAATTAATACTTAAGAGAAATAGAGAAATACAGTCGCCAAGTTAATGTCCATTCAAATAATGGACTCAACTCCCTCCCCCTCTTCTCACACTACACTCGCTGGCTCTTCCCTCTCTGAGAAATTTTGGGGGGAAAACCAGGTATAGTAATAAATAATACCTCAAACTAAAGTTAGGATAATATAATTGACATTGCTGGATTCCTTGTAAGACCAGGAATATTTTGAATACAAATGTCATATATTTTGCACAAAAGATAACATATTTACTCAGAGTAAACATTATATCTAAAATTTGTATGTCTAATGCAAAATCTATGATGTTTATATTCAAAATGATCATCAAATTGTAAGAATTCCAGCAATGTAAATTATATTCTGGCCGGGTAATTTGAATGAATTTTATGAGCTAAAACAAACATCTTCAGTTAATAAAAAAAAAATATTCTTCACGACACTATCTGTCAGTCAAAGTACCCCACCTTGCCTCCCCCCCTCTTCCAACCGGGCCAGATGGTCGGTCCGTCCCAACCCTCCCCCCACCCCCAACCAATCCTCCATTCAAGAGAAAGGTTGGGTGAAAAAACTAGATTTTAACATTTAGTATTAAATAATACCTCAGATTAAAGTTAGGATAATATAATTGACATTGCTGGATTCCTTGTAAAACCAGGAATATTTTGAATATAAATGTCATATATTTTGCACAAAGGATAACATATTTACTCAGAGGAAACATTATATCTAAAATTTGTATGTCTAATGCAAAATATATGATGTTTATATTCAAAATGATCATCAAATTGTAAGAATTCCAGGAATGTAAATTATATTCTGGCCGGGTAATTTGTATGAATTTTATGAGCTAAAACAAATATCTTTAGTTAATAAAAAAAAAAATATTCTTCACACCATGACCAAGTGCCAGGTGGTCGGTCGCCAGTCCCTCCCTCCCTCCCTCCCACCCCCCACCAAGCCTCCCTACCAGATGAATGTGTGGGAATACCAGACTGTTTACCTTTTTAGTAATAAATAATAAATCAGACTAAAGTTAGGATAATATAATTGACATTGCTGGATTCCTTGTAAGACCAGGAATATTTTGAATATAAATGTCATATATTTTGCACAAAAGATAACATATTTACTCAGAGTAAACATTATATCTAAAATTTGTATGTCTAATGCAAAATCTATGATGTTTATACTCAAAATGATCATCAAATTGAAAGAATTCCAGCAATGTAAATTATATTCTGGCCGGATAATTTGTATGAATTTTATGAGCTAAATAAAAAAATTATACTTCACCCGTGCAAAGGGGTACACCCACTGCGGAATGTGAGCATCTTGGGTTACGTGGAAATGCGGGACCACGTAAAGTGAGGGTTGACTGTACTTGCCAACAGTGCATAACAGACTGTTCAAGCGGCTAACAAGCCAATTAGTGACGAAGAGGATAAAGTATAAGTCAACTTCATTAGTTAGCTTTGGTGTATTTTGTACAGTACTGAGTAAAATATCTTAATGCAGCCTTGATTTTGGTTATTTTTTTTAAACTGATAGAAAATACTGGGAAACATTATTTTTTTTCATATACAGGGTACTGCACATATACAGGACAGTACTGTACTATACATTATCTCTAAATACAAAGTAATTTGATTAATTGTGCAGTATTTATAGAGTTACAAAGAGAATAATTTCACAAAACCTTGGTTTTCCTGTTAGAAACACTTAGTCCTTTTTTTTGCAAGATAGTCTGCTAATCCCTTGTGTACAGAGTCTCCCCAGCTGAATAAAATTGTCTGATGCTAGCCACATAAATTATTAAAATTGGCATCCCCATAGTAAAGGAGTTAACCTGATTTATTTTCAGTAAATTCAACTGCAAAATTCTTTTGTATCATAAAAATTACAAATACAGTATCTTATTTTTTCAATTTGATAAATATTGTACTGTATCAATGGAGACCCCACATTTAAATTGCACCAGGGACCCCACAAGGGTAAATCCAGCACTGGTTGTAACACAGAACAAACAAATCAACTGAATGGCTAGTAAACTGATGAATGGTGGAAAGAATTAAAAGAAAAGAGCACAGCATAGAGAAGGACAAGCTTACTGGAAACACCGGTACAACATCTGTGTGAGAGTTGAGGAGCAGCGTCTGGAGGCTGCGGTCTTGTCCGGGCAAGGTCATGATCACTGCTGGCTTACCAGAAACACATTCTACTACCTGCAGCTCTGCCTCCAGCTCCTTGGCCTGGCCTCTTAAATACTCTGTGCATGCAGCTGTAAATAAAAACACATACCCCGGTAATTCACTGTATTGTACACACCATCCTGGAATAGCTACCCTTGGGCCAATTAATGAGTCACCTGATGATCAGACTCCCCAGTATCCTACATTTCACCTGATAATTATACCCCCTAACACTAAACTAGCCTAATCTTAACTAATCTAACCTTCATGCTAACCTAATTTAATCTTACCTTACGTAAACTAACTTTAATGCTAACCTTCCCAGATGTAACCTAGGTTTTCGACAGCATACCCCATGAATGGCTGAGAATTAAACTGGAAGGGTACAGGATTTGGGGAAGTGTCCTAGCGTGAATCAGAGACTTTTTGCATGACCGCAAACAGTGTGTGGTGATAAATGGTAGGAAATCGTCAAGTGTACCTGTGACAAAAGGGATACCACAGGACAGTGTATTTGGCCTGTTGTTGTTTGTGCGCTTCATAAATGATATGCAAGAAGCTATACACTCTTCCATACAAATGTTTGCAGACAATGCTAAGTTATTTAGGGAAATTAAGAACCAAACAGACTGTGAAGAGCTACAGAAAGATCTCTACGAGCTTCAAGAATGGTTGAAGAAATGGTCGCTAAGATTCAATGTTACGAAGTGCAAAAGGATGCATCTACGATGCACCAACAGTAAAGACGAGTATCACATGTCCCAATAGGACAAAGAAACTGCATTAATTGAGATGGAATGTAAAAAGGACCTGGGTGTGTATGTCGACAATGAACTTAAGTTCTCGGGCCATTGTGAGAAGAAGGTGATTCAAGCAACAAAACTAGCAGGTCTTATAGGAAGGTTGTTTAGATACCTGGATGGTCTGTCACTCGTCGCGATCTTCAAGAGTGAGGTGCTTCCCCATCTGGAGTACTGTCATCACCCCGTCTGGTCCCTGAGGCATATTAACATATTCCAAGCATCATTACAACCACTAATTATTCCGCAAGCGAACTGTCGATGATAGGACCGGACTCGGCATGCTCAGGAGTACCTATACTGTGATTTTGAACAAAATCGCACATATCGCGTTTTCTCTCGACCCTGGGAAAAACGCGTAAGGGGGGACCCTTATGCGTTTTTCCACCCATATATGATTTTCTCTCAGACATGAAATTTGGTGGGATTAATTTCAGTAATTAAGTACATCCAGAATAACATAACAACATCAACCAAATACCTGAGAAACCAATAATTAGGGAGAACTGAAATAAACATTTGTGAAAAATTTCATTAAAATATTCCAAGCATCATTACGACCACAAATTATTCAGCAATCGAATTGTCGATGATAGGACCGGACTCGGCATGCTCAGGAGTACCTATACTGCGATTTTGAACAAAATCGCGTATATCGAGTTTTGTCTCGACCCTGGAAAATACGCGTAAGGGGGGACCCTTATGCGTTTTTCCACCCAAATATGATTTTCTCTCAGACATGAAATTTGGTGGGATTAATTTCAGTAATTAAATACATCCAGAAGGAAATAACAACACCAACCAAATACCTGAGAAACCAATAATTACCAAGTACTGAAATAAGCATTGTGAAAAATTTCATTAAAATATTCCAAGCATCATTAAAACCACTAATTATTCCGCAATCGAATTGTCGATGATAAGACCGGACTCGGCATGGTCAGGAGTACCTATACTGTGATTTTGAACAAAATTGCACATATCGTTTTTCCACCCAAATATGATTTTCTCTCATCCTTGAAATTTGGTGGGATTAACTTTAGTAATTAAGTACATCCACTAGAACATAACAGCACCAACCAAATACCTGAGAAACCAATAGTTGGAGAGTACTGAAATAAGCATTGTGAAAAATTTCATTAAAATATTCCAAGCATCATTACGACCACTAATTATTCCGTAATTGAACTGTCGATGATAGGACCGGACTCGGCATGCTCAGGAGTACCTATACTGTGAATTTGAACAAAATCACGTATATCGAGTTTTGTCTCGTCCCTGGAAAAAACGCGTAAGGGTCCCCCCTTATGCGTTTTTCCACCCAAATATGATTTTCTCTCATCCTTGAAATTTGGTGGGATTAATTTCAGTAATTGAGTACATCCAGAAGAACATAACAGCACCAACCAAATACCTGAGAAACCAATAGTTGGAGAGTACTGTACTGAATTAAGCATTGTGAAAAATTTCATTAAAATATTCCAAGCACCATTACGACCACTAATTATTCCGCAATCAAACTGTCGATGATAGGACCGGACTCGGCATACTCAGGAGTACCTATACTGCGATTTTGAACAAAATCGCGTATATCGAGTTTTCCTCGACCCTGGAAAAAACGCGTAAGGGGGGACCCTTATGCGTTTTTCCACCCAAATATGATTTTCTCTCAGACATGAAATTTGGTGGGATTAATTTCAGTAATTAAGTACATCCAGAAGAACATAACAACACCAACCAAATACCTGAGAAACCAATAATTAGCGAGTACTGAAATAAGCATTGTGAAAAATTTCAGTAAAATATTCCAAGCATCATTACGACCACAAATTATTCCGCAATCGAATTGTCGATGATAGGACCGGACTCGGCATGCTCAGGAGTACCTATACTGCGATTTTGAACAAAATCGCGTATATCGAGTTTTCTATCGACCCTGGAAAAAACGCGTAAGGGGGGACCCTTATGCGTTTTTCCACCCAAATATGATTTTCTCTCAGACATGAAATTTGGTGGGATTAATTTCAGTAATTAAGTACATCCAGAATAACATAACAACACCAACCAAATACCTGAGAAACCAATAATTAGGGAGTACTGAAATAAAGATTGTGAAAAATTTCATTAAAATATTGCAAGCATCATTACGACCAATAATTATTCCGCAATCGAACTGTCGATGATAGGACCGGACTCGGCATGCTCAGGAGTACCTATACTGCGATTTTGAACAAAATCGCTTATATCGAGTTTTCTATCGACCCTGGAAAAAACGCGTAAGGGGGGACCCTTATGCGTTTTTCCACTCAAATATGATTTTCTCTCAGACATGAAATTTGGTGGGATTAATTTCAGTAATTAAGTACATCCAGAAGAACATAACAACACCAACCAAATACCTGAGAAACCAATAATTAGAAAGTACTTAAATAAGCATTGTGAAAAATTTCATTAAAATATTCCAAGCATCATTACGACCACTAATTATTCCGCAATCGAACTGTCGATGATGGGACCGGACTCGGCATGCTCAGGAATACCTATACTGCGATTTTGAACAAAATCGCGTATATCGAGTTTTCTCTCGACCCTGGAAAAAACGCGTAAGGGGGGACCCTTATGCGTTTTTCCACTCAAATATGATTTTCTCTCAGACATGAAATTTGGTGGGATTAATTTCAGTAATTAAGTACATCCAGAAGAACATAACAACACCAACCAAATACCCAAGAAACCAATAATTAGCGAGTACTGAAATAAGCATTGTGAAAAATTTCATTAAAATATTCCAAGCATCATTACGACCACTAATTATCTCGCAATCGAACTGTCGATGATAGGACCGGACTCGGCATGCTCAGGAGTACCTATACTGCGATTTTGAACAAAATCGCGTATATCGAGTTTTCTCTCGACCCTGGAAAAAACGCGTAAGGGGGGACCCTTATGCGTTTTTCCACCCAAATATGATTTTCTCTCAGACATGAAATTTGGTGGGATTAATTTCAGTAATTAAGTACATCCAGAAGAACATAACAACACCAACCAAATACCTGAGAAACCAATAATTAGGGAGTACTGAAATAATGCATTGTGAAAAATTTCATTAAAATATTCCAAGCATCATTACGACCACTAATTATTCCGCAATCGAACTGTCGATGATAGGACCGGACTCGGCATGCTCAGGAGTACCTATACTGCGATTTTGAACAAAATCGCACATATCGCGTTTTCTCTCGACCCTGGGAAAAACGCGTAAGGGGGGACCCTTATGCGTTTTTCCACCCAAATATGGTTTTCTCTCATCCTTGAAATTTGGTGGGATTAATTTCAGCAATTGAGTACATCCAGAAGAACATAACAGCACCAACCAAATACCTGAGAAACCAATAGTTGGAGAGTACTGTACTGAAATAAGCATTGTGAAAAATTTCATTAAAATATTCCAAGCATCATTACGACCACTAATTATTCCGCAATCGAACTGTCGATGATAGGACCGGACTCGGCATACTCAGGAGTACCTGTACTGCGATTTTGAACAAAATCGCGTATATCGAGTTTTCTCTCAACCCTGGAAAAAACGCGTAACGGGGGAACCTTATGCGTTTTTCCACCCAAATATGATTTTCTCTCAGACATGAAATTTGGTGGGATTAATTTCAGTAATTAAATACATCCAGAAGAACATAACAACACCAACCAAATACCTGAGAAACCAATAATTAGCGAGTACTGAAATAAGCATTGTGAAAAATTTCATTAACATATTCCAAGCATCATTACAACCACTACTTATTCCGTAATCGAACTGTCGATGATAGGACCGGACTCGGCATGCTCAGGAGTACCTATACTGCGATTTTGAACAAAATCGCGTATATCGAGTTTTCCTCGACCCTGGAAAAAACGCGTAAGGGGGGACCCTTATGCGTTTTTCCACCCAAATATGATTTTCTCTCAGACATGAAATTTGGTGGGATTAATTTCAGTAAATAAATACATCCAGAAGAACATAACAACACCAACCAAATACCTGAGAAACCAATAGTTGGAGAGTACTGAAATAAGCATTGTGAAAAATTTCATTAAAATATTCCAAGCATCATTACGACCACAAATTATTCCGCAATCGAACTGTCGATGATAGGACCGGACTTGGCATGCTCAGGAGTACGTATACTGCGATTTTGAACAAAATCGCGTATATCGAGTTTTCTCTCGACCCTGGAAAAAACGAGTAAGGGGGGACCCTTATGCGTTTTTCCAATCAAATATGATTTTCT